CAGCTGACAGATGAAGGGACAGTCTGCTGAGATGGATGGAGATTGTCTGAGATTGGCTCGTCTGAGATTCCGAATGATCCAGGACCTTGAAGACACATCCCCAGTGGAAGGAGTCTGCTCAGGACAGACCAAAGGGGCATGAGTTTAGGTGGGAGGGAAATTTGCTGAGTCCTTCAAACCACACTGTATCCTGTGTGGCTCCTGGTTCTGAGTTCACTGGCTGTGGGGGCCGGGGAGACCCGGGCAGACCTGGTGAGCAGTGCGGCTGCCTCCGGCTCACAGGGGAGAAGGAGGCACTCCTGCCCAGCACTGCTAACTCTCTGTCTCTCTCTGTCTGTCTGTCTCTCTGCCTCTCTCTTTCTTGCTTGCTTGCTTGCTCAGCCTCTCTTTCTCTCTCTTTCCCTCTGTCCTTCTTTCCCTCCCATCCCTCCTCCTCCTCCTTTTCCTCCGTCTTTCTGCCTGCCTTCTTCCCATTTCTATTTTCTAATTTGGTAGGAGGAGGAGTCACTTACAGCCTTGCTGTTGCTAGTTGTATCTATTCTGCCTACCAGGCACTCCGGGGTCCTCTTTTATCTGATCAAAACTTCGTATAAGTCCTGGCACTGAAAACCCGTGGGATCACTGAAATGTTTTCCCTGGTTTAGGTGCGGCAGCTCTGGAAGGTCATCCTGTGAAGGGATTTTATTAGTGATGATGACCCAGGCACTGATGCGAGAGCTGAAGGGACCCGAGCCCCCGAGCCCTGCACCCAACCCTGTTGACTGTTTTTCCTCCGTGCCAGGACGTTAAGGATGAGCCTAGAAGGAAGCACTCCTGGTGCAGGCAGGGCCTCATCTGTTTCTGCAGCTCCGCTCTTGGGCTGGTGAAAAGCAGGTTTGGCAGCGTTTAGGGGGAAAGTGATGGGTTTAGGAGGAGGGGAGAGAAATGTCCATCTCCATGCGCAGATGCTGCAGGTTCGTAATAGATAGAGGGCCTGTCTCAGGCACTAGAAATGCCCGCTGACCACAGGAACGCACTCAGCTCTGCGAGCATGTGTAGCCGTCATCTGAGGAGCAGGAGCCGTCATCTTCCCTATGGGGAAGATCCCCGTATTGTGCGGGATCTGTGACCTTCTCAGCTTCAGGCCTGAGGCAGAGCCTCCACAGCTGGCCCAGATCAGCAGAGGAATCAAGGGCTGGGCCCTGGGAATCAGGCAGTCCAAGGACAATGACCGTAGTCCCTGGGGCTGCTTACAAGCCAACCTGGAGCCTGACATCCAGCCCAGCCCTGCATCTGGGAGGCCCAGGCACCTCCACACAGAGCTCGCTGTGCTGACGGGCAGTTGTGACCCTGTGCGGGACACCTGCTGGGAGGTATGAGGGCAGGAGCCCAGAACTTCCGGCTCCTGCAGGCTGGCAGGGGAGGGGTGGGGCATTGTGATGAAGAGAAATGTGAAATCGATAAAGTGCTCTGAATGCCATTTGTAAGACTGCAGGAGGGGCATTGCCAGCAGATGCCGGGGTTTAGGAAGGGGTCCAGGGGAATGGTGGCTGTGCGTCCAGGGTTGATGGAGAAGCAGGCTTTCATCAGTCGCATGCATGGGTCAAGGTGAAACCACATTGGTGAGGACCAGGGCAGCAGGGCCATGTGGGTTCATGTGGCTGGAGCAGACAGCAGGGACGTGGGGTGGGTGCCTGCAGTGGTCATGTCAGCCAGGACAGGAAATGATTCTAGCAGGGGCCAAGGTCTGCAGGCTCAGGGAGCAGCAGGGAGCTCCTGGTGGGCAGCTCGGGAGGGTGAGGCTGTGTCTCCCTTGGTGTGGCTGCAACCTCTGCTCCCCTGGGACCTCTGCCTATGCCCTATGATCCTGGGGTCCACAGTGAGGGCCATTCGCTCAGGCAGGTGTGGTGACCTGGTGAAGGATGCATGGTTGGTCAGCAGGGGCGCTGGGACTCCACCCTGCACAAGCAGAGGTGCCCAGCACAGAGGCCTCCACACACCCGGGGATGACCCAGGTTCTGATAGCCTGGCCAAGGTCTACACAGTCCCTCACCCTGATCCTGGCTGAGGATCAAAGCAGGGTGGGGAGGGTCTCCGTTCAAAGTGCTCAGAGTATGTTCAGTCTCCACGTCGTGCTCAGGACCTCACCAAAGCCTCACCGGAAGTGGCGAGTGGGTGGTGTTGGCTCAGACTCTGCCTCTGTCTCCACAGTGACCCCCACCACAAACCAAGCGCTGCAAAGGGTGGAGTCCGCGGAAGCCCCGGGGTCTCAAATTCCAAAGACGGTGGCTGTCAGCCGGGCAGTCGCCCGGAAGTTGTCTGACCTGGGGACCTCTGGCCAGACCCATCCGGGCCCCCAGGGTGCTTGAGCACATCAGCTGGAAGGTGAGCCACAAAATCCCCGACAAGTGCAACGAGTATGTCAATTGTACGTTGAAATGATGCAGGAGAGAAATTTTTAACACACAGAACTCGGGGAAGCAAAAGCCGTTGCTTTGCTCCATTTGTTCCCACAATTAACGACAGCAAAGCTGTCCCTATCTTCATCTCCAGACTTGACCCGAAAGCTATTATCTTGAAGAAGTTATGTCCCAATTACAGGAGTAAGATGTTCCCCTTACAGATAAGTTCATAAAGTGCAGAAAAGTTTACCGGCAGTGGCTCCCTGTTGTGAGTGTTGGTGCCAAGGTGAAGATCTGGCGAGCACAGCAGTCGCCTCTCCCTCTGGCTTCTCATAAAAGCCACGCAGAGGGTACTGTTATTACCCCAATTTCAGATGAGAAAGCTAAGGTCCAGGGAAAGTAATAGCTCTCCCAAAGTTACAGATTCGGACACTGGTGGAGCCAGGAAGCGGATCCAGGCTTCCTCGCCACAAATCTTGATTCTGGTGTGTGAAGAGAGGTGGGCACTGCCAACCACACCAGCCTCAGGCTAACCTGTCCCAAAACCAGAGGATCCCTTCTACTCACCCAGAACAGCTAGTTCTAGCCCTGAGTCCAGCCATGCTGCCTTGCTGGGGAGACCCACTCTCTCCTTAGCCCCGACGGCTGCACCTGTGAAGCGCGGTCCTTGCTGGACCCATCGTCTGGGGTTGCTGTGAGAATTGCCTGAGAATAAGCGTGAATGCCCAGGCCCCCAGAGCCACACCCAGCACACATGAGCTTTCACGGGGACCACGTGGGTTTCCATTTCTCTGTCCTTGAGGTCATATTTGGCAAATGATTTTGACACACCCTATTTTATCCTCAAATGAAAGATGAAGGCTGGCTACTTCTCTGCCCACCACCTCGCCAGGACTCACCTGCACAAGCAGAGGTGCCCAGCACAGAGGCTTCCACACGCCCGGGGATGACCCAGGTTCTGACAGCCTGGCCAAGGTCTACACAGCCCCCTGGGATGGGAAGGACACTGGCCAAGTTGCACGATTCTCCAGGAGGAGGAACAGGATTTTTTTTTTTTTTTTTTTTTGAGACAGAGTCTCGCTCTGTCACCCAGGCTGAGGTACAGTGGCAAGATCTCAGCTCACTGCAACCTCTGCCTCTGGGTTCAAGTGATTCTCCTGAGTAGTTGGGACTACAGGCACTTGCTACCACACCTGGTTAATTTTTGCTTTTTTAGTAGAGATGGGGTTTCACCATGTTGGCCAGGCTAGTCTTGAACTCCTGATCTCAGGTGATCTACCCACCTCAGCCTCCCAAAGTGCTGGGATTACAGGTGTGAGCCACTGTGCCTGGCCCGGAACAGGGTGTTTTATAATTGTACATATCTGTGGGGTACAGAGTGATGTTTCCATACACACAACGTGCAGTGACCACACCGGGGTGATTAGCCATCGTTTAACATTGCTTTGTGTTTGGGACATGGGGAATCCTCCCTTCTAGCTTTCTGAGTGCATGTCAGGGTTTTGTCCACTGCTGTCTTCCCCACATGGGGACAGTGCATGGTGCACGGTTGGCCTTCAAAGAAGTGGGTCTCTAGGGGAATTTCCTGGAGAAGACGGCATCTGTACTGGGTCTCAGGAAGCTGGGGTGACTTCTGCAGGGGCAGCACTGCAGAGAAGGTCTGCTGCAGAGGGTTGGGGGAGCTAGGGCCTGAGCTGGGGGGTCCTGGGCATTCCAAGGCCTGGCCGGGCCTAGGGAAGGTGGCTTGTGCCCTTACGATGAGGGGCTCATTGAATACTGTGAATATTTTGACTGCTGTGAGGGGGGGGGTCCCTCAAGTACCTCTTGCTTTGGAGGGAAAATGCAGAGTCCTGGCAGGATTCTGCACGGAAAGCTTAGTTTTCAGGATGGGTGACTAGGCTATGGGATGAGGACCCAGTAGAGCTTCCCCTCCTCAGCCCCAGGAGAGGGGCAAGGCTGGGAGGGAGGGGCTGGAAGCAGAGAGACCCGATGCCTGGATTCAGGCATCAGGAAGGGTATGGCTCGCTCTGTTCTGAGATTGCTCACCTGGGTGACCTTGAGGCTGGTGGGGACCTTAGTGGGGACAGGGAGCTGCCCTGGAGGGAGGGTGCCATATTTGGACTGATCAATTCCCCACCAACCCATGAGTATTGAATACCTCCTCTGGGCTCCATTCCGTGAGACCGGGAGTGGCCTTCTGGTCGACCCATCTCAGAAGCATTTTGCAAAGGTGAATGGAGGCCCCGAGACCCCCAAGCTCTGGCCCTGGTGTCTCTGTGGGTGCCAGGATGCGGAGGTGGGCTGCAGAGGCCCGGATTCCACAGAAGTGCCCTGGCCTGTTGAGTGGAGCTGTTGCAGCCTAAGTGCCCTCCACCGCTCGGAATGCGGATTAGCTCTGGAGAACTCATCTGAAATAGATATTTCTCCCCGCCGCCAGAGGGATTTATTGGCAACACTAGCCATCTATTAACATTATCTGGGGACTCTGCACTGGTGAGAATAGATACTATAAATCTTAGTTGTATAAAAACCCAGGAGCTAGAAGGCTTTAGTGGACGGCAAATAGAAAAGTCCAATGAGTTCAGACCTGTTTATTTTACTTCGAGGGAAAGAACATTCCGTACCCAGCCAGGCAGGAAATGGGTTTTGGGGACGGCCACTTAGCCTAGCTGTTGGACCTGAAACTGTGGGAGTAATCTCTGCCTGCAATTAGAGCAGGCGGCCTGCAGGACACAGTTTGGGAGCCAGTGATGGAGTCCTGAAGAGAAGTGAAGCTGGAACTTCAGGCGGGCGGCCGTGGGCCTCGTGGGAAGGAGACCCTGGTGGCTGCTGTGCGCTCAGCTCTCGGCCACCTGGTGCCTCTGATGGAGGGGACTCTGTGTCCTGGTTGCCTGGGACAGTCCCATGATGCAAGTTACTGTGGCACAGTTAGCCGTCACCCCCCCGCCCAAGTGTCATGGTGTGGATGAGAAACGGTGTTATTTATCAGTCTCAGCTCTGACTGTCCATTGCTCTGTCTGCAGTGGTAGATGATTCTGCAGCCCAGCTTGTCATCTGGGTCTTGGCAGAGAGTGGCAGGGGGGCTCTGAGGAGTCCTCTCTGAGCATGAGCTTTGGGAGTTTGACCCTCTCCACTCTGTCCTGAATGGGGCCATGCAAACGCCTCTCCTCTGTGGGGCATAGAAGGAGCAGGGATCCAGTGCGTGAGTGCCAGACCCAGCCTTGCTCCTGCTGCCTGCACACCTCTCACCGAAGGCAAGCTCTTCACCGTGCTGAGCCTCAGCCTTCTGATCTGCAAAATGGACAGGAGATGAGTCCCTGCGTGTGGTGGGCAGAATTTCTAAACATGGACCTTGTGGTACCTTCTTCTGGCTGTCATTGCAAAATACTCCAAACAGTGTGGCTAAAAACAACTGGAATTTATCCTTTTATTGTTTTGGAGGCTAGAAGCCAGCAATGAAGGGGACTTGATTCTTCTCCCCACAGGCTCTAGGGGAGAAGCTGTTCCCTGTCCCTTAGTCTCTGGGGCTGTGGGCAGCGCGTGGCACTTCATGGCTCGTGGATACACATTGCTCTAACCTTGGCCTTGGTCGCCACGTGGCCTTCCGCCTGTGTCTCTTCTTTGTAAGGACATCAGCCACACTGAATGAAGGACCTGTCTACTCTGGTGTGACCTCATTTTAACTAATGACATCAACAATGATCTGTTTCCAAATAGGATCACATTCTGGAGTTCTGGGGAGGGAGTGGATTTTGAGGGGAACTGGTCAACCCAATACATCTCCCTGAGGATGTTCTGTGCTAATCCCTGGAATGGATGAAGATGAGATGTTGTTCTTGGGCATATGTCCTGCTTATGCACAGGTGACCTCATGGTAGGGAGATTACCTGGGTGGGCCTGGTTTACTCAGGTGATGTCTTTAAAAACCAGGGTATGTGCCCAGTGGAAGGAGGAAGAGGAGGTCAGAGGGATGGATTGGAAGCATGAGATTCAATGCATTGTTGAGAGTGTGAAGCTGGAAAAGGCCACATGGTGAGGAATGTGACTGCCTCCAGGGGCACAGGGGCCCCAGCCAACAGCTGCCCAGGAACAGGGAGCTCAGTCCGACAACTGTAAGGACCTGAGCGAGCTCAGAAGCACATTTCTCTCCAGAGCATCCAGACAGGACTCTGCCAGGCGGGCACTTGGATTTCAGTCTTGGTAGACTCCCTGGCAGGGAACCTGGCTACGCCTTGCTGGATTTCTGAGCTACCGAACTGGGAACTGATAGACCGGTGGTCATTTGCTATGCCTTACTCGTGGGCTGGCTGGGAGGGTGATGAGTAATGCATGCAGGGTCGAGACCCTGGCTGGGAGCTGAGCCCGTGTGATGACTGACCTCATGAGATTATTGTTGCTATGGAATCAGAAGACACCACATGGGGCACCCAGCGAGTCACTTTGGGCCCTTCCTTTCCTGTGTATGGACAAGAAATGGCCTCTTGCTCCTGAATTGACCCATTTTCCTGCCTCCCTTGGATTCCTTCCTCTACACCGAACCCCGGACACTCATTGTGTCTCCCAAAATCCAGGCTCCTCGTTGCCCTAGGGGTCAAGTCCATCCCTGGGCTGGCATCCTTGGTCTTCCTGAACACCTTCCTGTTCCCATGTCCAGGTCTCTCTCTCGCTCTCTCTCTCTGAGATGGAATTTTGCTCTTGTTGCCCAGGCTGGAGTGCAATGGCGAAATCTCAGCTTACTGCGACCTCTGCCTCCCAGGTTCAAGCAGTTCTCCTCCCTCAGCCTCTGTGAGAAGTAGAAATGTTTCTTTTTAAAGTTGATTAAGTGAGCATCTATTTCCAACACCTGGGTACCTAGGGCTGGCAGGCCCCAGGTGCAGAGAGTGCAGACCTCCATTTGCAGGAAATACAAGGAAGATGCACGTCCTCGGGAAAATCACAGCAAATGCACCACACCTGCTCTGCGCCGACTCTGTGCCCAGTACCTTCCTTGATGAACTCATCGGTCTCTCAGCACCACTTTGAGGAAGGGTCTGCGGGTCTCCTGTTACGGATGAATAACCTGAAGCGCAGAGAGGTGAGTAACATGGCCTGGCTGGAACTAGGGGGTCAGTGCTTCCTTTCTCGTGGCCCAGACAAGGGGACATCACGCAGGGGGAGCTCTGGCCAAAGGCGGCAGCAGGACACAGGACCAAGCCAGAGAAAGCAGAGGCCCCGGAGAGAGGGGCTGGGGTTGGTTGGCCCCTTTCCCTGTGAGGCTGGGCTGTGTCAGCCACCCTGTCGACAGGGTCCTAGCAGCTTGGCGTCCCCTTCCACGAGCTCTGGTCTTCCTCACCTCCACATGCACCTGGTGAGGAAGGGGTGACTAAAACGCCTTCTGAAGATTGGAATAAGTGCATGCGCCCCAGAATGTTGGCAGACTCTGGTCCTCACAAGAGGGGGTCAGGACAGCCCAGGTGAGGGCTGAGGGGGTGGCTGCAGACAGAACCGTCTAAGACGGGACAGCCCACGGCTTCTATTGCTCCTGTCAGAGGCATGGGGGTTGGGGGAGCCGAGATGGGGGGTGGGAAGGACAGGAGTGAAGCCAGAAGACCAAGGCCCAGCAGAGGGTAGGTGGCTGGAGACCTGTGACCCCCGGGCCAGGGCTCCCTTGCGGTGAGACCCCACTTCACGTTCAGCACCACACCTGGCTGTCACCACCACTCCCGCACTTGGCAGATGAGGTCAGTGAGACTCAGAGAAACGTGGACAGCTGTGCGTTCACAGGGCAAATGGGTGGGGCCGGCCTCACGCAGAGTGGAATTGCAAAGAGAGGGAGAGTGTGGTGTGTCGGGAACCTGCTGTGTGCCGGCGCCAAGCCCGGCCTTTCGCACGCAGCACCTCACCTCAAAACCTGGGGTGGTTACCCCCACGTTCACACGAGACACTTGCGGTTCAGGTGGGATAAGTGACTTGTCCATGGTCACATAGCAAAGGGCAGGGTGGATGTCAGACCCAAGATGACTCCAAAGCTGGGTTCCTCCCACCCAGGGCCCTGGTGCACCCACTGGCTTTGTGCATTCATGAAGCCACCAGCACTGCCGGGCGCTACCGAGCACAAGTGCAGGGTGAAGCTGGAGGCTGCCGTCACTCTCACAGGCGAGCTGGGGACACAGACAGAGAAAAGTGCTGACAATACAGTAGGACAAGGGCCAGGCGAGACCTAAAGGGTGAATAGATCATGACCAGGCGTATCTGTCGGCCTTAGCTGCATGACAAATGGCTCCAGAACCCAGATGCTTCTGCCTAGATGTGTTTCTCATGCCCCAGGGCCAACTGGTTACCTGCAGCACGGCCGACCGGCCTGGGTTTGGTGGGTGGTTCTGCGTCAGCGGATCAGTCAAGGCTCTGCTGCCCAGGTGAGGGGCTGCTCCTCAAAAGCTTGCTCTGCAGCCCAGGTGAGGGGCTGCTCCTCAAAAGCTTGCTCTGCAGCCCAGGTGAGGGGCTGCTCCTCAAAAGCTTGCTCTGCAGCCCAGGTGTGGGGCTGCTCCTCAAAAGCTTGCTCTGCAGCCCAGGCTGAAGGCACAGCAGGCGCCTGATGCCCTGGGCTATGAGCACAGAGGAGAGCAGGCCAGGACTGATGCCCTGCTGGTCTTGGGATGGGAGAAGGGTGGGGGGATGCGAATGAGCCTTCCAGTGTGTGCCAAGAGGCAGAGCCAGTGTGGAGAAAGCCCAAAAGAGAGGGCAGGGGGGCAGGGGGGGCATGGGTGCAAGAGGGCAGGAGGGCAGGAGCACTTGTGGCCCAGAAAGGCCAGGAGGTGCCCGGCACCCTCCAGTAACACATCCTCAGGCATGGCTTCCCTCTAAGAGCAGGGAGAGCCATTTTGAAGGAAGATACTGGGAGCAGAGGGGCCCAGTGGTTTGTTCTACCTGGTCTCTGGGCCAGAGAGACCCAAAAAGCAGAAAGGTCTTTTTGTGCATACCCAGACCCCAAAGTCACCTTTATTCCACGCTTAAGCTCCTTCAACACCCTGCTCGCCCCAAGGTCCCGCTGGGGACCTAGTGGAGTGGGGCAGGAGGAGGCCACTGTCTGAGCCCTTCTCTCCAGGGCAATGTGATGGGACCTCCTGGTAATCGATGCTTCTGTTAACATGAGAATCCAGGCACAAAGCTCTGTCCCTCATCTCTAAGATGTCTTCTTGCAGGTGGACCCACAAATCACACAATCACTATGGCACACACATTTTGGCTGCACTTTCCCGGCAAATTCCCAGCCCTCCCCACTTCAGATGTCTGACACACACCCATTACGAAGGGTACGAACCGGTAATTAACTCCCCAAAGCTCCGGTGGAAACCAGTCTTCTTTGATTCTTGTCAAATTCCTTTAATTATGAATTTGCAACTGGCTGGCTCCGACACTCATCTGAGATGTGGCGCAGCCTGCTTTCTGCCACGCTGGGTTAAAAAAAAAAGTTTAACGAGCCTTGAATTTCAGCCAAAAAAATAAATGAACTTTGTAAAACACACCCATGCTGACAGATTGGAGGGGTCCCGATGCCACTGCCTTCAGGAGCTACCCCTGACCAGCCTGACGTGTCCAGGGGTTCCTGCCTCCATCACATCTGCAGGGGACAGCAAGAGCCAGGGGAGACAGTTTGCCAAAAATGGCCGAAATATTACATGCACATGCATGCACGCACACATGTGCATACATGCACACACGCGCATACATGCACACACATGCACGCGCGCACACATGCACATACATGCTCACACACGTACACACATACACGCGCACACGCGCACACGCGCATGCACACACACGTGCACACACACATGTGCACACGCACACACGTGCATACACACGTGCATACACACATGCATACACACATGCATACACGCACACATGTGCATACACACACCTTGCATACATGCACACACATGCACACACGTGCACACACGTGCATACACGCACACACCTTGCAATGTGACTTGGCAGCTCCTCCCTTTTGAATATGAGTGGACCTTGTGATGTGCTTTAGACAAAAGAATTCAGCAAAAATGACACGGCCTGTTCTCAGCCTGGCCTCAAGGAGCCTGGCACTCTCTTCTCCCTGTCTGAGTCCTGCCTGGCTGCTGTGAGGGTAGCTGGGTCTCCCCTGCAGGAGGACGGGAGCAGAGGAACAGGAGAAGATGCAGGCTGACCACCCTCTGACCCTGCCTGAAAGAGCCCAGCCAGGACCAGAGTAGCCTGGCCCAGACCAGCCAAGCAGACCTGGGGTGCAGAGAGATGAGCGATTCTGATTTTGAGAATTAGACTTGGGGATGTTTGTTACACATGAGTTGCTGACTGATACAGACACCATAAGCACCAGGGTTCTTATCTGTGATGGGGAGGTGATGACACCCACCCCAGGCCCCATGACAGCTCCTGAGTCCTTATAACATGGTCACTTAAATCCCTTCTGAGTCCATCACACGGGGCAGCCTCTCCAGCCCTGGCTTCTCCTGCCGCCTCCACAGAGGAGCTGCCAGGAAAAGCCTCCTGAAGTGCACACCCAACCAGGACCCTACACATGCCTCGAGTTACCCAGGGCACCTCAGGTCCCAGAGAAGGTCCTGCCTCTTAGGAAGGATATGGAGCCCTTCCTGATCTGGCCCCCATCCTTTATTTGGGGCCGAATCTCCCACGTCACCTGCCCCATGTGTCACCCAAACTCTGTGGGGCTGAGAGAAACCCATCATCACTTCTCTCACTCTGAGCCCCACACTGTTCCCTCGACCTGGAACACCCTCCTTCCTGGGCCCTCCAGCTCCCAGCAGGCACCCGCTCCATCTTCAGAACCAAGGGCTCCTGTGTGCCACCTGCCCACCTGCAGCCACTACCATCAGCCCCTGCTGAGTTCCCAGGGCGTGGTTGTACTGCACAGTGATTAGGGGTACAGGAAACTCCCACGGTAGGAGCCTGCCTCTGCCAATGACCAGCTGGTTGTCCTGCCTTCTCTGAACCTCAGTCTCCCCACCTCTAATGTGGACATGAGACTAGAGCCTTCCTCACAGCGCTGTCACGGGAGTGAGCCCCTCCGTGCAGAGGACAGCACAGGCCCAGGCAGCACACAATGGCGGAACAGAGGGCAAACACCAGGAAGAGGGGCGAGGCACCCTCAGGAGGCAGCACCAACCCCCGCGCTCTGTGGGCGGAGACCGCAGGATGACTTCCAGATGAACGAGGGAAGGAGCTTTGTGCCTGGCTTCTCAGCCCTCCAGGACAGGACGATCCAAGATCCCTTGGGAGGCTTGGAGTCCCCCACAAACGCACCGATTTCTGAAGCCGGGACCCAGAAAAATGCATGTCAAGGGCAGGGCTTGCTGCTACAGCATTGTGTGTAGCAGACGGGGTCTGGGCCATCACCCGCCCTGTGAGATCTGTGGGTCCCAGCGGGCAGACCCCCTCACTTTCCACCTGGATGTTTGGAGCTGCATAGACACAACCACTGAGCCCCATCCTTGCAAGGTAATTAGTCCGCGACCCTGCAATCTCTGCACGTTGAAGCTGCTCCTGAACTCCCGCAACCCGCTGAGCTTCATTTCAAATGCTGGTGCGTGTTCATCTTCCCGGCCGCCTTCATTAATGCTCACACCCGAGCTGGGGTGCGGGTGCCCGCCTGTCCTCCCAGGGCTGTCTGCAGTCTTCGGCCTGCAAATTGATTGGCGCTTCCCCTCCCTAGCATTTGCACAACGGGAGATGGTCTCTGTGTCTTCGGCCGGCCAATTTCTCCTTTCCTTCAATTTGCAGTGAGCGCTAGCTTCCCGGTAGAGGAAGGTGAGGAGATTAATTGGTGGAGCCACCCCAGGACCGTTCTGCCCCTAAAGTGGGAGGCAGGCCATGGAGAAGTCGTGGTTTAATTGGTTACATGTGACCCTTTCCCTTTTTTTTAATTTAATTCTAACTTTTAACATTTGAAGCTGCATCAATATTAATTATCGCTGCTGTTTTCTGAGTCGCCTCTCACCCAGGAAAGGGCATGTCCATTTCTCAAAGGGAGAAAGACAGACTTGCAGGACCAGGGGCTGAACGGGACCTCGGAGGTCCCAAGTCCCTACCTGGGTCCTTGCGATGGGGAAACTGAAGCCCAGAGGGGTGGAGCCTCCATGGGATCGCACCCCGAGGAGCAGGCCCCCAGTTCGGTGCTGTCCTAGGTCCTGAGCCCTGCTTCGTGTCTGTGGCTCAGAGAGAGAAAGAGTGAGGGGAAGGACCCAGGGCTGGGAGGGACAACTCACCTCTATTTTCCAGGTCTCTAGCAAGGCCCAGGAGTTTTGGAAGGATCCTTTCCTAACATTTCTGAAGGACAGTAATTCAGAGTCTGCACCAAGCGCAGCAGCCTGCTGTGTTGCTCTTTAAGAAGGAGGGTGTTGAAGGGACCTGTGAAGCTGTGAGGCTGGATCTGCACGAGCATCCACGCAGCAGAGCCCCATCTCCATCTTCAAGTGGGCAAAGCCTCTGCTCATTAGAGGGAAGGGGTATTGAAGACCGCGTGTGACTCGCCCGAGTGGGCTTCTGCGTGCTTGTGAGTGGGATCGATACCCCTCTAGCCACTATCGATAGGAACGGTGTTGTGCCCAGCGTGGCCTTCCCACGGGCCCCCACCTGAGCCCTGCCACTCAGCACACATTAGAGAGAGGATGTGATGCTGAAAAGACCCTGAAGTGTGATCAAAATGCAGGCATTAGCCCCAGGGCACCGTGGCAGGAATCTCCTCTTGCCTCGGGTAGAAGCGGATGCTGAGCAGGCTCTTGCAGGCGCTCGGGCAGTGGGTGCTCTCCATGTGAGCAGCTGCTGCACAGGCCCTGGCCCTAAGCTCACCTGGGACCCTGCTTCTCCCCAGTGGGGGACTTTGGGCAGGTCACAGAGTTATCTCACTCACTGAGGGAGGCAGTCCCTCAATGGCCTCTGCCCACCTTTCCTGCCTTCAATCGTTCAGCTCGGATTTTTCGGGTATGCCTGTGTCCAGGTGCAGGGTCCACGGGGTTCTCACTCCTGGGGATCTGCTGGGGGCTGCCTACAGTCATCAGAAACTAACTCCAACTGCTGCAAACAAAGAAAACCTATTGAAGGACATTTGGGTCTCAGGACAGAAGTGAGGCTGAGGAGATGGGTCTGGGGCTGAGGAGATTCCCAAGAAGGTGGAGTCAGCAGCAAGACCATTCTATGACCTTGCCAGGACCACCGCTGAAATTAACCACGCTGTTTTCAGCCAAGACTCACTGCAACCATACCCGGGACCCAGCATCGTCCCAGGCCTTGGGGACTGTGCAGGAAATAAATGAAAAGATGAAGCCCCCCCACTCCCATTTCTTCCACGCTTGCCCCTGACCACTCAAGATGCAAAGTTCCAGTGCAGAAATGCTGATGGATGGGCCAAGCTCTGGGCACTGCTCACCCTGGGCTCTTCCTGGGCAGTGAGAGTCTCCAGCCCCCTGTGGCATCTGAACAGGGAAAACCACGAAAAAGGAGGCAGTGGTTCAGAGCAGCTGCAAGCAGGTTGCTCCTGGAGAGGTGAACAGTGAGCTGAGGGGTGGGGAGGCTGAGGCTGTGGAACGGGGCAAGCGTTAGCTGTGGCTGGATGGAGGGCACTGGGGTCAAGAGAGACGTGGGGCAGGGCACAGTGGCTCACACCTGGAATCCCAGCACTTTGGGAGGCCAAGGCAGGCAGATCACCTGAGGTCAGGAGTTTGAGACCAGCCTGACCAACATGGTGAAACCCCGTCTCTACTAAAAATACAAAATTAGCTGAGTGTGGTGGTGCACGCCTGTAATCCCAGCTACTTGAGAGCCTGCTGGAAATAGGTGCTCGGTGCTGCAAAGAACAATCAGCACGGAGACAGAGGATCTCTCAGCAACGCAATGTCTACGTCCTGGACTGCAGGAAGGGGACCCTCGCCAGCCATCTTGCCACGAGAATACAAAGAACAAAGGAAAACACACAAATTTATCCCTTACACACTTGGGGTCGTCCTTACTGCTGTGTCTGATCTCCGTTGGCTGGAGCCAGACCTCACCATCTAAACTAAAACCCAATTGACTAACAACTTAAAACTTTTCTAAACAGGTAAAAGCCATGGAGAGCTGGGACATGGCTGTGAGCACGTCCAGCTCAGATATCTTGGTTAAAGTACAAGGACACAGAATGTACTACGTGCCTGTAAGCATGGCGTGTCTCACAGCTACAGAGGATAGGGCTTCACAGGGTTATTAGCGCACTTTAACAAGAAAGGAAACTTTAAAAAGGAACTTTTTTACTTCCCGCACTAGAAATAAGTTGTGATGTGGAGCCTAGAACAGATCCTGCTGATTTCTTAAAATAGTCGTTTTTCTGGATGTAAAGGTAATGTGAGCCCCTTATATGATGCCTGGAAAACAGACAGCAGCCACAAGAAACAAAAGCCTCTTGCATTTTCAGTTCCTGCGAACAGCTGCTGACATTCTCTGAGCCTCTTTTTCGTTTTTTTCTCAAATGCCTTTGCTCGAGCACACACTCGTGCAATATATACGTATGTCGAAAACTTAATTGCAGACGATTTGAGATTGCACTTTTCACTTTCGGAAGTCATATTTTAAAGTTTTCCGTCCTCTGGCTATGCCGTTTAAATTGCTCCTGTTCTACTCTTAAAGAGATAGCTGACACCACTGCCTTCTAGTATATTTTTATGCAAACCCATGACAGTCTCTCCAGGGCAAATTCTGAAAACTGGATACACTGGGATGAAAAGTATGTGCATTTACAATACTTTTGATACAAACTGCTCAGCTGGTCTCCAAAAAGCAGCAGCTGGTGTGAGGTGCCCTCTCTCCCTGGCCCCTTCTGCAGTGTGCAGCAGAGTGAACCTGGAAGCCCTAGTACGTTACACACAGAACCATTGCGGTAAGCCTGGAGAGCGGGGACTTCCTGTGCCTGCAGCCGCTCTGCAAGCTGGAGCTCAGGCCTTAGGCTGCCGCAGGGCCGGGGGCACAGGGCTCCGGGCATGGCAGGGTGGGCCTGGAGGAAATGCACATCTGCTGGTGGAGACAAAGATGGAATCCAGGTGGCAGGAGGTGCTGGGGCTGTTGATGTTTACAGAAAGCTTAAGCGCTGGCTGTTAGAACTGGAGCCCCGTGCAGGGTGAGAGCAGGGGCCATGATGAGAAAGGCAGGGTCACTAGAGGGGCTGGCTGGCTTGAGCATTGGCGGCTGGTGCGCATTCTAGCTGAACCCACTCCACTGTGGCTTGGGTGTGGAGGGTAATAGAAAAGGACCTACTGTCTAAGCCATCTTGTTTGGAATTAATAATATAACAGGGAGGAGGTGCCTCGTGCTGTGTCTTTCCTGATGTGGGGCTCCTACTCACTACTTGTCACCACCCTACGGTCATTGCAAACCCCAGTCAGATGCCAGCTCCACCAGCCACCAAAATGGTCCTGGTGAAGTCCCGGGCTATGTCTTCTGTGGCTTCCTTATGGTGGGCAATTATGAGAGTGCATGCAAAGCCCCCCATTCACTAATCCGTTTGTCCATCTACTATCCATATATCTATCCACTCACTCACCCACCCACCCATCCAGCCCACCCATCCATCTCATCTGTCCAACCACCCAACTCCTATTCATCCATCCATGCACCCATCTATCCATCCATTTATCTATCCATCCACACATTCAATCTCCACGTAATTGGAGGATGCCCTCTCTAAGCCAGGAGCTGGGATCCTGGAGGTGCCCTCTGGATGTCTTAGAAAACCCAGGACTTGATTCCTGAGTACTGACCTATATATGCTTATGTTGCCCATAAAGCACTGAGGCCAGGCCTGAGAGGGTGGGAGGCTGGGCCTTCCTCTGGGAGAACAGGTCTATGGAGGGCAGCACCCTAAGTGTGCACCTGCCTTCCTCCTCTTGCTCTGCTTCTCTCGAGGGCATAGAGTTCCTGCAAAACCAGTAACAGTGAGTGCCATCCTCACAGCCTTCTCCACAAGCCTCTCCTGCCCCAGGGGCACACCCACCTCTTCCGCATCCTGGGGATGGATGGATGCAGCTCCCCCTGAAGCTCAGCTGCCTCAATCCACAGGGGACCGAGGGTGGGAGCAGGTGCCTGTACTCAGCTGTCTGTCCCATGGAGGGCCCCTCGTTGTGAGATGCAGACCTTCCAGTTCGCCATTTTCTCTGGGGAGTGGGCACGGGTGGGAAGGGGAAGTGACCTTTCCCCAGACCTAGGACATTTGGGGACACCTCTGCAGGCTGAAGTGAGACTCTAGGCTCTGCCATGTGTGGCTGCTGCCAGCCGGTGATGGAGCTTGAAAGCTTCTCCTGGTGCAGCAGAGACACGGCCACCTGGCAGGCTGGTAGGGCCAGTAGGTGAGGCACGACTCCTAGAGAGGAGTGCAGTGCAGGGACCAAGGACAGTGCTGCCTGACTGGGTGTGGGCTCATCTAGCTCACGAGCTGCCCGTGTTTTGTGTCCAGCTCACCTGCCCCACCCTGTAATGTGGAGCACCACACAGCCCTTTAGGGATAGGTACAACCATGTCTCTGCATGGCCAAGGAAATGCAGGTGGAGGCCGGGCGTGGTATGTGGTGTGTGTGGTATGTGGGGTGTGTGTGGTATGTGGGGTGTGTGTGGGGTATGGGTGTGAGTGTGGTATGTGAGGGGTATGGTGTGGTATGTGGGGTGTGTGAGTGGTATGTGGGTGTATGAGTGAGTGCTATGTAGGGTGTGTGTGAGTGTGCTTTGTGGTGTGTGTGTGGTATGTGGGATGTGTGAGTGTGTGAGTGTGGTGTGTGTGTGGTATGTGGGGTGTGAGTGGTATGTGGTGTGTGTGGTATGTGGGGTGTGTGTGGGGTATGGGTGTGAGTGTAGTATGTGAGGGGTATGGTGTGGTATGTGGGGTGTGTGAGTGCTATGTGGGGTGTGTGTGAGTGTGGTATGTGGTGTGTGTGTGTGGTATGTGGGGTGTGTGTGGTATGTGGGATGTGTGAGTGTGTGAGTGTGGTGTGTGTGTGGTATGTGGGGTGTGAGTGGTATGTGGTGTGTGTGGTATGTGGGGTGTGTGTGGTATGTGGTATGTGAGTGGTATGTGGTGTGTGGTATGTGGGGTGTGTGTGGTATGTGGGGTGTGTGTGGTATGTGGTATGTGAGTGGTATGTGGTGTGTGTGGTATGTGGGGTGTGTGTGGTATGTGGGGTGTGTGTGGGGTATGGGTGTGAGTGTGGTATGTGAGGGGTATGGTGTGGTATGTGGGATGTGTGAGTGCTATGTGGGGTGTGTGTGAGTGTGGTATGTGGTGTGTGTGTGTGGTATGTGGGGTGTGTGGTATGTAGGATGTGTGAGTGTGTGAGTGTGGTGTGTGTGTGGTATGTGGGGTGTGAGTGGTATGTGGTGTGTGTGGTATGTGGGGTGTGTGTGGTATGTGGTATGTGAGTGGTATGTGGTGTGTGTGGTATGTGGGGTGTGTGTGGTATGTGGGGTGTGTGTGGTATGTGGGGTGTGTGTGGTATGTGGTATGTGAGTGGTATGTGGTGTGTGTGGTATGTGGGGTGTGTGTGGGGTATGGGTGTGAGTGTGGTATGTGAGGGGTATGGTGTGGTATGTGGGGTGTGTGAGTGCTATGTGGGGTGTGTGTGAGTGTGGTATGTGGTGTGTGTGTGGTATGTGGGGTGTGTGTGGTATGTGGGATGTGTGAGTGTGTGAGTGTGGTGTGTGTGTGGTATGTGGGGTGTGAGTGGTATGTGGGGTGTGTGTGTGAGTGTAGTATGTGGGTATGTGAGTGGTATGTGGGTTGTGTGTGAGTGATATGTGGGTGTGGTATGTGGGGTGTGTGAGTGTGATATGTGGGTACATGATTGTAGTATGTGGGGGGTGTGGTATGTGAGGGGTGAGTGTGTGTGTGGTATGTGGGGTGTGTGTGGTATGTGGGGTGTGTGTGAGTGGTGAGTGTGGTACGTGGGGTGTGTGTGGTATTGGGGTGTGTGTGAGTGTGGTATGTGAGTATGTGTGTGGTATGTGGGGGGTGTGTGTGTTGTGTGTGGTATGTGGGTATGTGTGTGGTATGTGGGGTGTGTGTGTGTTGTGAGTGTGGTATTTGGGGTGTGTGTGTGGTGTGAGTGTATGTGGGGTGTGTGGTATGTGGGGTGTAAGTGTGGCATGTGGGTATGTGAGTGTGGCATGTGGGTATGTGAGTGTGGTATGTGTATGAGTGGTATGTGGGGGTGTGTGTGAGTGTGGTATATGGGGGGTGTGTATGAGTGAGTGATACGTGGGGGGTGTGTGTGAGTGGTATGTGGGGTGTGTGAGTGGCATGTGGGGTGTGTGTGTGAGAGTGTGGCATGTGGGGGGTGTGTATGAGTGTGGTATGTGGGGTGTGAGTAAGTGTGGTATGTGGGTATGTGAGTGTGGCATGTGGGTATGTGGGTGTGGTATGTGGGGTGTGTGTATGAGTGAGTGTGGTATGTGGAGGGTGTGTATGAGTGAGTGTGATACATGGGGCATGTGTGTGAGTGGTATGTGGGGTGTGTGAGTGGTATGTGGGGTGTGTGTGTGAGTGTGGCGTGGGGGGTGTGTATGAGTGAGTGTGGTATGTGGGGTGTGTGTGTGGTATGTGGGGTGTGTGTGTGTGAGGTATGTGGGGTGTGTGAGTGTGGTATGTGGGGAGTGTGTGAGTGGTATGTGGGGTGTGTGTGTGAGTGTGGTATGTGGGGAGTGTGAGTGGTATGTGGGAGTGTGTGTGTGGGGTATGTGGGGTGTTTGTATGAGTGGTATGTGGGGTGTGTGAGTGTGGTATGTGGGGTGTGTGTAAGTGTATGGGGTGTGTGAGTGGTATGTGGGGTGTGTGTGAGTGTGGTATGTGGTATGTGGGGTGTGTGTGTGAGTGAGTGGTATGTGGGGTGTGTGTGAGTGTGGTATGTGGGGTGTGTGTGTGTATTATGTGGGGTGTGTGTGTGAGTGGTATGTGTGGTGTGTGAGTGTGGTATGTGTGTGTGTGAGGTATGTGGGGTGTGTGAGTGTGGTATATGGGGTGTGTGTTGTGGGGTGTGTGTGAGTGTGGTATGTGGGGGGTGTGTATATGTGAGTAGTGTGTGGCATGTGGGGTATGTGAATTGGTTTTGGCATGTGTGATGTGTGGTTTGTGTGTACATAGTGTGTATGTGTGTGGCATATGTGTAATGTGGTATCCATGGTGAGTGGTGTCTGTTGTGCTTGTGTAATGTGTGGTGTACAGTGTGTGTGCATAGGTGTGTGTGTATAATGTGATTTGGTATGTGGTGTGTGTGGTATGTGATGTGTTCTCTATATGTGATTGTGGAGGGTGATATAGCTATGGTGAGGTATGTGTGTATATGATGTGTGGTGAGTGTACACAACATGTATGCTATGTGATGTATATCTGGTATATGTGGGGTATGTGTGTAAGTGATGTGTGTGGTGTGCGTGTGTAGTGTGTGTGTGGGGTGTGTGGTGTGTGTGATTGTGTGGGGGTATGTATGTGATGTGTATGTGGTGTGTGTGTGGTGTGCGTGTGTGGGGTATGTGTGTGGTGTATGTGTGTATGTGATGTGTATGTGGTGTGTGTGTGGTGTGTGTGCAGGGTATGTGTGTATATGATGTGTATGTGGGGTGTGTGTGTGAGTGTGGTATGTGGGTGAGTGTGGTATGTGGGGGGTGTGTGTGAGTGTGGTATGTGGGGTGTATGAGTGAGTGTGGAATATGGGGTGTGTGAGTGTGGTATGTGGGGTGTTTGGTATGTGGGGTGTGTGTGTGAGTGTGGTATGTGGGGGGTGTGTATGAGTGAGTGTGGTATGTGGGGTGTGTGTGTGGTATGTGGGGTGTGTGTGTGTGAATGTGGTATGTGTGGTGTGTGTGTGAGTGTGGTATGTGGGGTGTGTGTGTGTGTGGTATGTGGGGTGTGTATATGTGAGTAGTGTGTGGCATGTGGGTATGTGAGTGTGTGAGTTGGTTTTGGCATGTGTGATATGTGTGGTTTGTGTGTACATAATGTGTATGTGTGTGGCATATGTGTAAGTGGTATCCATGTGTGAGTGGTGTCTGTGTTGTGCTTGTGTAATGTGTGGTGTACAGTGTGTGTGCATAGGTGTATGTGTGTGTATAATGTGGTTTGGTATGTGGTGTGTGTGGTATGTGATATGTTCTCTATATGTGATTGTAGAGGGTGAGATATCTATGGTGACGTATGTGTGTATATGATATGTTGTGTGGTGAGTGTGTACACATGTATGCTATGTGATGTGTATCTGGTATGTGTGGGGTATGTGTGTAAGTGATGTGTGTGGTGTGCGTGTGTGGGATATGTGTATATGTGATGTGTGATGTGTGTGTGGGGTATGTATGTGGTGTGTGTGGTGTGTGATGTGTGTGTGCGGGGTATGTATGTATGTGATGTATATGTGATGTGTATGTGGTGTGTGTGTGGTGTGCGTGTGTGGGGTATGGGGTGTGTATGTAATGTGTGTGTGGTGTGTGGGGTGTGTATGTAATGTGTGTGGGTGTGTGGGGTGTGTGTATGTGGTGTGTGTGGTGTGTGTGTGCAGAGTATGTGTGTATATGATGTATATGTGGTGTGTGTGTGGTGTGTGTTCGGGGTATGTGTGTATATGATGTG